GGCTCGACCCCGGCTGACGGGTAAACGTAGCCAGGTGTCGGCCTGTGCTAGCCTCTGTGCAGTGCGTCACCCGCTGGCGCGCAGGAGTGAACTGGTGGACCCCCGCATCCTGGAGGTCAGCACCACTCACCAGGTTCGTAGAGAACGAGGGGAGGTAGAGACCAGACAGGGTGCCAGAGGGAGCCGCCGGACACGGGAGGACTGTGGAGAAGCGAGACAGGACAAGACCCCCAGAGGGGTCAGCAAGAGACACCGCAACAGGCCGACTAAGCGGCGTGAGTGAGGTGCGGTCCCGAAAGAAGGAGCGAGAAGCCCCAGAGTCAAGGGTGAAGGTGAGGGAGGCCGAAGCCGACGTAGTACCTGAGAGCGCAGACTCACCAGTACCTGAGGGCGCAAACGCACTGGCACCTAGAGTAGCAGCCTCACCAGCACCTAGAGGAGTAGTACCAATGCCCGGGTTGGGCGGGAAACACCGGTAACAGTCACCCTCATCACTAATAGTCACATCATACATTGCAGCAAGGATAGCATCAAAGTCAAGATCATAGATAACTACGCCTGCCCTAGACAGCTCTCCCCAGCGGGGGATCTCACTGGCCTCCGGGAACTGCTGACGCCAAGCGTCCGTCAGGCGGCCAAAGCAGCGCTGGGTGGGGTGGGCACCCCCACACTCCGCACCAGCGCGGTCGCCGGTGCGAAGGACGTAGGTGCAGGGACTAAAGCCCCCACCACGCTGACGCTGCGTGTACCACTCACGGAGCTGCTGAGGGGGGGGGATGTCACGAGAACGCTGCTGCTGCTGCTGCTGCTGGCGCTGACCACCACCAGTGCTGCTCCGCTGCGAAGCGCCACCCCGACCACCTCCACCACCTCCACCACCGCCTCCTCCACCTCCTCCACCACCGCCGCCTCCGCCAGTACCGCCGCCGCCTCCACCGCCTCCACCTCCACTGCTGCCACCAACACCTCCACCCCCGCCACCACTCCCACCGCCACCCCCACTCCCTCCGCCGCCTCCACCTCCACCTCCACCGCCCCCGCTAGCTCCACCCGCGCCCTTGCCCCCCTTGCCCTTGCCAGGGCGGCGTCTCTCGCTAGGGGCAGACGCCGCACCGACCGACTCAAGACCAACAATGTCGGCCGCAGCGGCAGAGGCGACAGAGGGCAAAAGGGGGGAAGGAGAACACCCCTTTAAGATGGGGGTGCGAGGGTCACCACGAGAGGCCCCTACAGCGACTATGCTCTTCTCGGCCGCTAGTAGGGACTTCTCGAGGAGGTCTACAGTGAGAGTGGTGGGACAGACTGAGAGGAAGTGGTCCCTGACTACACGAAGGGAGTCAGGGAGACGAGTGACTATGAAGTAGAGAGTGATGTACATGGGGGGGGGGGTTCTTGGCGCATAAGTCAGTAGGAAGCGCAGCGCGGTAGCGAGTGTCACTAGTGCGGAGGTGCGTAATGAGTTCAGCGACTGTGGGAAAGGCAGCAAGGTCAGGGAAGAGGTACGGTAGCATGAGACGGCTCAGTGCAGCAGTGGCATGGGAGGAGTAGCGTGGAACTACAGCGTCGTACAAGGTCTGAGCACTCTTGTACTGACTAAAGTGCGCACGCTCAGAGGTAGGGAGGTGGCGACGCACAGCAAGACGTGCAGCAGCATCGCGCGTGGCCCACTGGGAGCGAATAGTAGGGTCAGCATCAGCAGCAGGGGCAGGGGAGGCGCCAGAGGTGAGGTCAAAGAGAGAAAGGCCGTCTGCCCTATCGCACTGTAAGAACAGCTGCAGGTCGTCGACCCAGACCTCAAAGTCAATGGCGCGACCCTCAGCGTCAAAAGCTAGGACACTAGGGGTAACCATGACAGCAGTAGACTAGCAACACTGACTATAGGACAGGGGCAGTGCAGTGACAGAAGTGTTGCTCTCACCAGACAGGGCGGTTTGGGCAGCTCAGCAGCACCGCAACACGGCAACACTGCTGCTCGGACGGCCCAGCAGCAACAGCAGCTCTGCAATACAAGCGACTCGGCTCCTCAGGCGGCTCGGGCGGCTCGGGCGGCTCAGGCGGCTCAGGCGGCTCAGGCGGCTCGGGTGGCTCGGGCGGCTCGGGCGGCTCGGGCGGCTCGGGTCCTCAGCGGCACAGGCGGCTCGGGCGGCTCGGCTCCTCAGCGGCTCAGGCGGCTCGAGCAGCTCAGGCGGTGCAGGGTGGCGGGGCCGCAAGGGAGGTGGCGGGGCCGCGGTGGAGAATGGTGGCGGGGCCGCGGTGGTAGAGGCGGCGGGGCCGCAGAGAATGGTGGCGGGGCCGGGACGAAGGGCGGCGGGGCCGCGACGAAGGGCTGCAGGGGCCGCGACGAAGGGCGGCAGGGCCGCGACGAAGGGCGGGAGGGGCCGCGACGAAGGGCGGCAGGGCCGCTAAGAAGGGCGGCGGGGCCGCTAAGAAGGGCGGCGGGGCCGCGTCGAGAGAGGTGGCGGGGCCGCGTTGAGAGAGGCGGCGGGGCCGCGACGAAGGGTGGGGGGGGCCGCGACGAAGGGCGGCAGGGGCCGCGACGAAGGGCGGCAGGGCCGCAACGACAGAGGCGGCGGGGCCGCGACGAGGGGTGGCGGGGCCACGACGAAGGGCGGCAGGGCTGCGACGAGAGAGGCGGCGGGGCCGCGACGAGGGGTGGCGGGGCCGCGACGAAGGGCGGCAGGGCCGCGACGAAGGGCGGCGGGGGCCGCGACGAAGGGCGGCAGGGCCGCGACGAAGGGCGGCGGGGCCGCGTCGAGAGAGGCGGCGGGGCCGCGACGAGTGGCGGTGGGGCCTCAGTGTGAGGGGGCGGGGCCTAATCGACGGGCGGCGGGGCCTCTAGGGTGGCTCGACAAAGCGAGAGAGGGCCCGGAGCGCAACTCAGGCCGAGCGCGCTTCGGGCAGGAAATAAAAATCGATGTGGTGGGCCTTAGGCACAGTTCCCACGGGGGAACCTGCTCAATACCATGAGAAAAGTAGAACGAAGAATGAATGACTAAGGAATGAAAGTGATACAAGTATGCAACCCTAGAATTGTGTACCCCATATGGGCTACCCCACTAGAGCCTACACAACATTATAATTTGACACGCATTCCTCTACACACCCGTCGACGCCGAAATCTTCGTCGAGCTCCCACACGGTACCCACGGGGAACCTAACCAAGTTTGCCAGCTGCTAAAATCGCTCTACGGAATCAAACAAGCCCCGCGGCTGTGGCAACAGCACCTACACACTCGCCTCACTCGCATCGGATTCCGCCAACTGCCTCACAACCAAGGGATGTATCGACTCACCAAAAACGCCGACTGTATCCTGCTGATCGTCTACGTCGATGACCTACTCTACATTGGGTCCACAGACGACATCACCACCTGGTTCGAGGGGGAGCTGCAGAGGGACCTCACACTCACGGTCTCCTCTACCGTCACTCAGTACCTCGGACTCAACATCCGCGAAAAAGAGAACGCGATCTACCTCAGCGCTGAAAAATATGCCGACACTATCGCCAAACGCTTCTCGCTCACACCTACCACTATCTCCACGCCATACCGCTACACGGCAGGGAACGACAAGGGAAGTTCCGCTCTACTCAAAACCGCCGGAATACGCGACTACCAGAGAAAGCTGGGCTGCCTTCTCTTTGCAGCCGTCACCTGCCGACCAGATCTGTCCTACTCCGCAAGTCAATTCGCCACCTACCTCAAGAGACCCGAAACAGAACACCTGGCGGAGCTCGACCGCGCACTACACTACTTCGTGAGTACCTCGACGATCGGCCTGGCATACTACAAGAATAAAACTACACCGACGAAACTAATCGGCTACGTCGATGCCGATCACGCCGGCGATTCAGACAACAGGCGCTCCCGCACTGGCTACATCTACCGCCTCGAACCTATCGGACCTATCTCCTGGCAATCGAGCAAGCAGAAACTAATCGCTCTCTCTTCAGCTGAAGCAGAATATATCGCCCTCTGCTCAGCCACCAAGGAAGGACTCTATCTTCGCGAGCTGCTGGAAGAAGTGAAGTTAGCCGAGTTACCCAACTTCACTCTGTTCTGCGACAACCAATCTGCGATTCGCATCGCCAACAAGAGCGGATTCGCGAACAGAACGAAGCATATCGCCCTGCGATATTTCTTCGTGAAAGACGAGATCGAGAAAGGGAAACTCAAATCATCCTACTGTCCCACGTCTGAGATGGCAGCTGACTACTTGACCAAGAAGCTCGGAAAACAAAAGTTCGAGTACTGCATGCTGCTGACAGGACAAAGCCACGTCACCATCAGCGACACTCCACAAGCGAAGGGGAGTGTTGGGAACAAATAGTCTTAAGCGCCTCTGTCGTGTCGAAACTCAAAGCGAAGCAGCTCAAATCGAAGCACCGCGAGTCAACCCTCGGAGGTTAACGTAACCGCTGGAGGTTACGAGAAAGTCAAAGGTCAGCGATCTTTGACCTGACACAGCGCGACAGCAAGGACACACAACTGACTCGACATTGAGCAGTTGCCCGAGTCGCACTGTATCGAACCGCAACAGTAAAACAGTTACGACTATGTCTCTTCATATTCTCTGTACTCATATATATATTCCTGTATCTCTTTGCTTTAATTAACTTACTTTGCTCTCACATACTAGCGCAAGGTGGTTCAAGGACTTTATTCAAACGCTTCCGCTACTAGATCATTTACTCAGACTTTAACTCTACTAAGGATCGTAGGGCGTTTCAGCCCAACATGCTGAACCGGCCATCAATTTTTTTTACAAATGGCCGGATTTGGCGAACTCTCCGAAAATCTTTGCGGATGTCGCGAATGTGTTACCTTCGCTGATTCCGGCCGGCTGGATTTTTCCAACAACGGATCTGACGCACCCTAAAGAGTAGATTCAAATCTCAAGCTTGAATATTGTTTTGTACAGTACACACCTAAAGCTACACAAATTCTAACATCCACTTTAAACCAAATTCCTAAACCTGCAATCTCTTCGTGGTATGCACATCACAGCACTTTCTTCACCCTCCTCCGCTTTGAGCGCTTGCCGTCAGCAGCATCACCACCCGTGTCCTCATTATCTTGCCTGACGGTCTCGCTGACTCTTCTCCTCGCCTCTGCCTCATCAGCACCACCCAGGGGCACATCAGTACTGCCGCCCACGTCCTTCCCATCACCTGCACTCACAGCCGCATTGGTGCATTCTTCCCCCTTGCCTCCTCCACTCTTGTCCTGCTCGCCTTGCTCGTCCTCCTCATCCCTGCGATCCCTTGTCTCCTCTGCCTGCTCAGTACCCTCCAATCCCACTGCCTCGTCCTCTCCTTCCTCTCCTTCTACTCCTTCCTCTCGCTCGTCTCCCTCTTTTCTCTCCTCTCTCCTCTCCTCTTCTCTCTCCTCTCTCATCTCCTCTTCTCTCTCCTCTCTCCTCTCCTCTTCTCGTGCGCCAGCAGCAGCAACACTGGCGTAATCCAGGATCGGGATGGGCGGCTGATCGGGGACGGCGGGAGCAGGCGCGGCGGCGGGCGCAGCTCCGGGAGCGGTTGAAGGTGTGGATTGCAGGGCTGCGAGGCGAAGAGGGTCGAAGAGGGGAGCAGTGAGCTGGAACAGCAGGAGTTTGTCCATGGGCACGTGCACACCGGCTGTAGGGTGGGAGGGAATGGGGAAGGGGGGGAGGAGAGGGTTTAGGGGTTGAATTGAGACGTCTCAAAAGGCGAGCTAGAACAGAAGGAGTTTGTCCATGGGCACATGCACGCCAGCTGTAGGGAGGGAGAGGGGAGGGGTGGAGGGGTGAGGGTTGGGGAGGGGTTCGGGGTTGACTTGAGGCGTCTAAAAAAACGAGGAGGTTTCCTGTCGGCTCGCGCACGCCGGGTGGGTTGAGGGAGTGTGTGGGCGGAGGGAGGGGGGAGGGAGGGGAGGGGTCTGGGGTTGAGAAGTCTCTAAAGTCGAGCTGGAACGGCAGGAGGTTCTCCGTCGGCACGCGCACGCCGGCTGGGGGAAGATGGGGAGTGGTGAGGGGGGGTTGGAGGAGGAGAGAGAGCAGGGGGAGGGGGGAGAAGAACGTTGGGGAGAAAGGGGTGGGGAGGATTTGGGGGTTGAGACGTCTCACAAGTCGAGTGGGCGCAGTAGCAGATTGTCCATCGGCGCACGCTTGCCGGTTGCGCGGAGAGGATGGGGAGAGGGAGTGGGGGGGCTGAAGGGTTTGAAGGTTGATGGTTTTGGGGTTGAGAAGTCCCAATATGCGAGCTGGCGCAGCAGCAGATTGTCCGTCGGTACGCGCTCGCCGGCTGGAAGGAGGGGGGTGGGGGGGTTGAGGGTTCGGGGGTTAAAGGTTTTGGGGGTTGAGGGTTCGGAGGTTGAGGGTTCGGGAGATTAGGGTTTTGAGGGGTCCCAAAAGGCGAGCTGGCGCAGAGGCAGATTGTCCGTTGGTACGCACACGCCGGCTGGGAGGGAGGTGGGTGGAGGAGGGGGAGGGGATGGGGGAGGGGTGGGGAAGGGAGGAGGGCGCGGAGGATAAGGAAAGGATGGCGGGCGGAGGAAGAGGGTGGTGTTGGGGGAGGAGCCAAGGGTGGTGGGGGTGGAATGGGGGAAAGGGGGAAGGGACGCAACGTAGCCGATCCGATAGGCAGCTGGTCACGAGAACGTAAAGTCTAAGAACAACGGGGAAAATGGCTGTACGGTTCTTCGTTTGTCAGAAGTTTGAAGCGCATTACGAGCGAATAGGCGATCCAAACGGAAACATGGCTGCAAGGTTGAATGTCTGTTAGATCTGGCCGAGCTAAGATACGTCAAGTGAATGCGGGATGAAGATTCCGCGAACGAACGACAATGGGCCGAAAAAAAAAGCATATCGGAGAAAAAAAGAAAAGAAAAACACAGCGCGAATGCCGCTCAAGCAGGACACGATGACGACATTTGCCAGCAGTGAAAGCAGCCGCGCGAAACCCGTGCGACGATTTCTGCGATTGTGCGACTACTGGCACGGACCTGCAGCGAGCCGACAAACTGACGCCATTTCGCCGAACGCGACCTGCATTTTGCTGGCGACGCTCGCCATCGCCAGCAGCTTCTCGCGCTGACCATTACCCGCGCATTGCGCGTCGCTGCTATGTTCGTCCATGGCTCGTCAAATAGAATCGAATTGTAATGAACTGAACTGAGCCATCAACCCAAAAACTTCCACCCAACGGAGAAGCTTTGTCTATCTGTTGAACCCAAGTTTCAACAGATTTGACCAAAGTTTAGGGTGTTGCCGCCAAAATTCAACGGTCGATTCAAACGGTGGGCGAAATACAGAATGTCCTCCCTGCATTAACTCTCCGCTGAAGCGTTACCTGATGTCGCGAGGCAGGTCAGGAATGGTGGTACTCGGTGCGAGGGCTTTCTGCTCTCAGTTCGAAGTCTGGCGCCGAGGACTTTGTTACACAATTACGCGGATTTGTCTATTTACCTATAAAGGAGAACTAACATTTGTATCACATGTTCACACACTTTGTCACCATAACAGAAACGGAGTGTCACCAAAGCGACGCATTCACCGTGCCTTCATTGTGCCACCCGCATCGCCGCCATTAGCGCACCTCAAATAGCCAACAGAACCCATCCGTGAACCTTAGAAGGAATTTAGTCATAGCAGAACGAATTGGTTTTCCAGCGCATGTCTCTGAGGCAAGTCCGTGTCATCTGATTGACGTGCAAGTGACCCGAGCGGCGCGGCTCGGCGGTAAACCAAGGCGAGGCAATTATTACGTCGCAGCGAAGCAATCTTGCAGCCGCTGACCGCGTATGCTTAGTGTTCCGCCTAGACTTGGTTCCGGGTGATCTCGGCGTAGAGTGCGGGGAGGAGGGTAGTAGCATAGCCGGCGAAATCGGCGATGTTCGCGAAGGATTCGACTGGGTTCGCGAAGAGTTGGTCCGCGTGTTTAGGAGCAGGCGACGCCCGCTCGAGGGTGAGATGCGCGGGAATACGGCGCGGAAGTTTCGAGGAAGGGTCTGGGAGGAAGCGAGTGGAGATAGGGAAGGAAACGAGGTTGAAAAGGAGAAGGGGATAGGGAAGGAGTGCAAGAGTCAAGGGAAAAAGAAGGGGATAGGGAAGGAGTGCAAGAGTTAAGGGAAAAAGAAGGGGATAGGGAAGGAGTGCAAGAGTCAAGGGAAAAATAAGGGGATAGGGAAGGAGTGCAAGAGTCAAGGGAAAAAGAAGGGGATAGGGAAGGAGTGCAAGAGTCAAGGGAAAAAGAAGGGGATATGGAAGGAGTGCAAGAGTCAAGGGAAAAAGAAGGGGACAGGGAAGGAGTGCAAGGGTCAAAAAGAAGGGGATAGGGAAGGAGTGCAAGAGTCAAGGGAAAAAGAAGGGGATAGGGGAGACAGAAGTTGAAGTGAAACGCGAATAGACGATTGGGACGGGATTGTCGCGTATATTTACTTTTCTGTCATTGGTTCTGAGAGCCAATGCGCTGGTATGATGGCATGGCATCATGCCACCACCCCATCATGCAATGATGTCGTTCACGCCTTTCAACGCGTCGAGCTGGCTCCGTGATTCTCTTTTTTCAGAACCATCATGCCATCATGACACATATCCCTCTCCGTCGTTATTGGTGACAGCTCCTGAATTTCAGGAGGCGAGCCGGCACGAGAGCAGCGAGCCACTGGCAGGTGCGAGTTAGGGAAGGGGTGATGGACGGTGGGGTGATGTTTAGAGGAGGTGTAATTGTAACAATAATGATAATGGGAAGGGTTTGCATGGCTCTGGGTTACATGCTCTGTGTTTCATGCAATGCATCCCATGTGCTCCTCTCTCCTCTATCTTCACCCCTCTCTCGCCCTCTCTCATTTTCCTCCTCTCACAAACCCCTCGTCCCTATCTCTCAAAAGCACGTCTTTCATCCACTCACCAAGCGCTCTTTTGAGGCGCCTCAAAAACCCTCAAGCACTCCTTTCCAAGCCTCTGCACTCTCTCCTCTCCCCCCTTGCTCCCCAATCCCCTCCCCCTCTTTCCTCTCCCATTCATCCCGGCCGCTCATAACTCCCTCCCAGATGGCCGCACTCTTGTGAGCCAAAAAGTCCTCCTGGTCACTGAGGTAATCACTGGGGAGAGTGCAGGCACGCACCGTTCGCCTCTCGCCTCCCTTTCCACATGCTTGGGTGGGGAGCAGGTAGCACTTGTGTGCCAAGAAGTCCTCCTGTTCACCGAGATAATCACTGGGGAGGGAGCAGGTGGTGCCTGGGGTAACAGGTGGGGAGAGAGCAGGTGGTGCCTGGGATGAGAGCAGAGAGTATGGTTAGCCTCGCCTCTCCCTCTAACGTGCTCACCGCAGCACTTGTGTGTCAAGAGGTCCTCCTCATCAGCGTGGTAATCACTGGGGAGAGAGCAGGTGGTGCCTGAGGTAATGTAACGGCGATGAGCACCGGGATGAGAGCAGGCGAGTGCCGTTTGCCTCTCCTCTTCCCCTAACATGCTCACCAAAGTGATTGTGCGCCACGAGCAGATGGTGCCCCAGGTAACATGTGGTGCGAGAGCAGGCGAGAATGGGTTAGTCGTGAGACAAGTGACGTATTCTTTTGACTCGACTCAAAAGTCTGCTGGTGACTCGGGTAACATGTGGGGCGAGAGCAGGCGACAATGGGTTAGTCGTGAGACAAGTGACGCTTACTGAGGTAACAGGTGGGAAGAGAGCTGGCCAATACTGTTTGTCCCGTCTCCCTCTTGGATTCCTGGCACTTTGTGCCAAGGCATATGGTATGACATGGCATGACATGGTATTTACAAGGCATTAACATGGCTTTACCGTGGCATTAACATGGCATTAACATGGCATTAACATGGCATCACATGGCATCACATGGCATCACATGGCATCACATGCAAGGGAGATCGAGCGTATTGGCGATGTGGCGCAAGGCAATCGCATGGCGGCAGACACACCTGGTGGTTAAATGACAGTGAACCGCCCTCTTTCTCCTCCTCCGATCTCCTACACGGGATCTGGCGCGCCCTTGTATGGGAGTCACACCAATTCCATGTGGAGCCTGGGGTGGGTGGGGGGCACGAGGAGACAGAAGCAATATGGCACAAGGCAATGACAGGGTGGGGTGTTGCATAGATGCAGAGGGACACAGAGCGGTGCAATGACGGAGATATAGGGAACCTCCCAGATGCTTATCTTGACTGTTGGGCTACTATCTTTTGTACATAGTACGGTATGGTCTCTTGATTACCTGGTTTTTGATATCGTGTTGTAGCAAGTGCTATTACCTTTTCACCACAACCACGCTTGCTTGCTATGTTGGTGATTTTTATAATATCTCCCATTTGTAGGAAGCCTTTATGTAAATCAACCATTCTGTTTTTTAGTAGATATGACAGGGTGGTTTGCTTGTTCCCATGCAAGAGACACTTTCAAAATGACTCAGCACCCCCCAAAACGCCTTCAAATAGTTTGCACAACAGCATTACATGCCACAAACAATATATAAAGCTACTGTTTTTACGTTACAAACGGGTAGAGGAAACATAACTTTGTTATGCTATCCCTCATAGCCCATCAAAGCTTTTCTCTTGTTCTTACCCCTGTTTTTCCGATGGCAGTGACTTGCTTAATCTCCTGCTCGCCATTTTCCCCTTGCCATTGTCCTTCTCTTTCTCTTCTCCGCCTCCCTCCTCGCCCTCTCAGCCTCCTTCCTTTTCGCCTTCTCCTTTCCCTTCCTCGCCTTCCTCTCCTCTTCCTTCTTTCTCTTCTTTTCATCCTCCTTTTTCTTCCTAGCTCTGTCCTTTGCTTCCTGCTGCCTCTCCCTCTTCTCTCTCGCCTTCTTCTCTTTTCGGGTCTCCCTCCTCGGCTTACTCACTCCCCTCCCTTGCTTCTCTCCACTGGCAGCCCTCCCGTTCTTCTCCAATTGGCTCCCACTCTTAGAAGACGTGTCTGGTGATTCCAAGGTGGTGTTTGAAGGCGAAACATGACCATTGTTTCCTGTAGTAAAGTTTCCGCTCCCAGTAACAGTGCTGGCAGCTTGTGCAGTGGAATTGCCACCTTTCGTTGCAGTAGCAGAAGCGGTAGAAGTAGCCGCAGTAGTAGCAGCAACAGCAGTAGCTGCAGCAACAGACACAGGGTCTTCTTGGATCTTCGCCCATTCATCAAGGGCTGCAATCAGCGCAAACAAAATCACCAAGAGTAAGGGAGGGAATAAAACAAGTAATGAGCAGAAGCTAGCCGGCCTTTTATAATTCTTCCAGCTTTGTAAATGGGCCTCAAACAATATGAGAACAAATGCTAGAAGAAGCAAACGAGGGGTGACCAATGAAGATATTTTCTTCCACACTATTCCAGCAATTTTCTCTTACCTGAGCACTTGCTCTGAACGAAGTCCCCACTCATGCTCCGGTTGATTGGGATGTTGTCAGACAGTCGCAGGTAGGACCCGTAGCGGCCCAACGAACTCCAACTGCCGAATGGAGTGGCCGCTCGTGTGGTAACCCCGACAACATGATCCCTTAAAGGGCAATCGTTCTTTCCATCGCAAACCTCTGCTGCATCAATATACACGTCAACCCACACATGACCTCCTTCCGCTTCAAGCCCAAAAACAATCAAACCGAGCAGAAGCGTGAGAAGCATCGACGACGCTGCTAATAACGGCCTGAACGCCAGACTACGATGCGCCATTATCACGATCATCTACCGCTGCCAGCTCGTGATGGCGTTTTCGATCTTCGAATGGATGATGGCGTGGCGAGCCTTGTTCAGCAATGATAACCTCGCCGTTGTAAAACGACCCGAACTGTCAAAGATTCACGCACTGAAGGTGAACGTCACGATAATGTGACCTTATATAAAAGGTAGTCACAGATGATACGATTTTTAGGATGCCGCGCACGTCGCGGTCTGTATAATTGGCAGAAAAGGATTTCGAGCTCGCTACTAGAAAATATGAAATAGGTTCAGGAGGAGAAACAACTGTGCGGTGATCCGGAGCAACGTTGGGTGCTAAATGTTGTGCCGACGCAAAACTAGAAATTTTTGTGCCGAATTCACTATAAAAAAGGAGGTCGAGCTCTGCGGCGGTCGCCGAGAGCTCACGCAAACATTTCTTGCACTACTGTAGTACCCAATGCGTAGGACGCGT